GTTAGGGCATACCAGCTGATCCTGACAGCCACTGCGGCTTCACTTGTTTTGTTGCTAATTGGAAACAAGAAAGGTCAAAATAGAAATGCTTACTCTGGTCACAGATGTTATAAGTTCTCCTTATTATTACTTACTACTAATGAGGTACTCGGGATAGTCTATTTCTGAAACTATAACCTTTAACAGGTAGGATAAATCCAATGCAGCAAACGTTCATATTGCACAGTGATACACAGTGTTTTGGATAAGTTATTTTCCGTGAAAGGTTACTACGTGCCTATGACTGAATGACGCATCTGAAAGTTGCTCGCACTACTTACTTGGTTGGCAAATTCTGTCAAACTTGGCAAACTAGAGACAAGATGCCGAATATCACGCGGTCACGCCTACTACTGTCTGCCCGGTAATCATGATCAGTAGGGCAAGTTTCGTAGCCGAAGCGAATTGCTATTCTCAGACCGATTGTTGAGAGGTATAAGATATCAATTTGGTACATGTATCTTTCTTACAGTGTAACAACATCTGCTGAAAAGCAAAGTTGCCGAAAATGCTATGTTTTTTATGGTAATAACAACGTGGCAGAAACAGCTAAGAAGTTTCATCGATCAATGTCTTTTGGTTTGGTCAAAGAGCGTATGACGCACTCACCCACTTACTGGAAGCGCCTTGTTTCTCTTGATGTCTTGACTCGTAGTTTCAGCACTTCTACATCTCCAACAGTAAAGAATTTTCCGTTTGGCAGGGACCAATCAGTTAATGATGCCATTACCACCTTCAAACACGACAATGATTGTAGAGATCGCAATTCGTCTGCAGAGTATCACCAAAACGTCCAATGAGAATCTCGTCTTCAGATCAGAAAACAAAACCCAGATATGCAGTGGTTTACGGCTGTACAGAAAGTCTGGTGGGAATATAATTCAGATTGAACTATGCACAAGAAAATTACCTTACTTGTTATTGTTGGTCACCTCATCCCCGATGTTATTCGGTTGTCCACACAGGAGTTACAAACATGTGAAAATTCGTATGAAAAATAGTACAGTGAGGTGATACCAACGTCGTATCTGCTGCAAACGGTGCGCAAACTGTAGTAGTGCAATTTACTATAAAACTTGCTATCATAAGTCACCACACATGTTTCTTTACTTCCTTCCAACCGCAATTCTTTGACCTGAACCTAAGCATGGAAGATGAGGGATGGGTAATACCACATTTAACCCTATCTGCAGTTGGATATTACAAGATGAAAAATTCTCCCCAACGACATAGATTTTTCATTCTTCCTGAGACAGACTGCAGACTGTGATAACGAGACGGTGAATAAACCAAACGCCTTTCCCGTCACGATCTGTTTTCAGCTCTGCCATTTGAAGTAATGGATGCTTTACTCAGCTGCAATCGTCTCGTAGGCCACATGGATTTTATTTTATGGATGACATCCGCGTGCGCATTAATTTTCGCCTGTTCTCAAAAAAAAAAAAAGATTACGTCCTCCGAGGCTCTGGCCTGGCTCTAGGCCTGGGTAGTCCATGGTAGCTAGTGACAATACGGAGCCTGTGATAACTCTGGAGGACGGCACCCAGGCTGCCGAAGCTGCACGCCTCAAGAACTCAGTACATACGTACAGTGTCGATTCATAAATTCCGCAAAAAGCCAGCATCTGCCGGCTAGCGCTTGTCGTATATGTCGCTATGTACTGCCGTAAATTCACAATACTAGCTTTGTTTTCCTGTGGTTTAGTAGAATTTTTATTTTTGGCCGGAATTTTTTTTTATTCGTCCGCGCGCACTAGTTTGGGGGTCTTCCATAAAATTGAATCGGTGTGGCCTTAGGTACACCCGAGATATTGTGGTTGATACGAAAACTTTTCGCCATCCATTACCACTTTTCAAAGCCTTGCACCTTGAGGCCTCCACTGAGGAAACAGTGTGGCATTTGGCCAGGTACTTTATACTGCTAACGTTAACATTTCGTGAGGAGAAATAAGTTAGCAACTATTTGAACGATATTATAGTGCTGCTTTATGGGGTATTAGTAAGAAATTATCGATATGGCAAAGTGTATTTACTGGTGGAAGTTGATTGTGGTCGCTGTGAAGGTTGAATTTTGAATTTGGCCATTTGTTTACTGCCGATAAAGCCCCTGTCACACATTCACGAATTTGGCCACCCAAACGCTAGCCCAACGTCCGCCAACCATGGTTAGGAGCGGGTCGGCTGGCGCTCGGCGAATTCGGCTACAGTTCGGCTGCGCCAGCCGAATGTTTCAAAAAGTTTAAAACATTCGTGAGGCGTTCAGGAGGTCATGATTGGCTGGGTTTCGACCGTAAGTCAGTAAAACACCATTCCTGGAGTAAGTCAGCAGTGTTCCGGGCGTGTTCAGGGATCAATTTTGGCTCAAACTTAACTCAAATTCGTTTTGATTCATATACGAAAGGTAGGCGTGACCTAAATCTGGTCCTGAACATCAGCCGACCTGCTCGGCTAGTGTTCGGGGACGAATTCGGGGGAAGTTCGTGAATGTGTGACAGGGGCTTAAAGGTCTAGCGCTTAGTCATTGTGAGTGGTACAAAACTGAAAGTACGAAAACTAAGTAAAGAGATGACATTTATGCATTTTGTTTGAGCAAAGTTATTAAAGACCTGCCGTGTTATGAATGAAAATCAGATGCACCTTCTTGACCGTTTAAGACATGCGCATGGTTACTCTTTCTTAAAGTTATACGATACGTGACTACCACGGTAGGGAAAAGTTTTCCAAAAATAGTGACTTCATGATCAGATACAACTTCGGACAATCAACCTGTAACCCACTGTAACCCAACATTGATCATAACTTGGGGCCATAACATCAAACTACCGTCTGTACTCGCTGTGTGTATGAAACACATAAGGGACGTGATCTTTGCTCCCGGAAAACATTTCCCTTATTGACATTTCTGTGATAGCTATCAAAGGCATCAGAACTACTGTATAGCACTGATGTACAAGGTCACAAATGAGTTATTTGAAAGCCAAATGGAGTCAAAGGTAAAACTAGGGATGCCGATCCCTACAATTAACCTGTACCCGATATAATAACATAGCATTGATCCTAACCCGGGGTCATGATGATCTGTCTACCGTCTGTGTTCTGTAAGAAATACGTCCGGGATAATCTGTCTGCCACTGGAGAAACGTTACTTGATATCCCTTTGATAGCTACAGTATCAAAGGCATCAAAACTACTTTAAAGTTCTCTTGTACAGGATGCGAATTATCGCGAAACGAGCTATTTGAAAGCAAACTGGAGCCAAAGGTCAAACTATAAATATTGATGCCGCTTTCTTTTGCCTTCTCTTCTTATGTACGATTGAGGTTTAGCCGCACCTCGTGTTGTTTGTTGGGAAACCAGAGTCGTGGCATGGCTTCAAGAGTTGGCTCACTCATCAAAGTCTTTGGTGCACATCGAAACGGCACTGATGTAAGCATGATCTATCTACTTATGCCTTGTCGAGGAAACGTCGAGATCGTCTTAACAGTGTAGATTGTCTGCATGATAGTTGCCTGATAAGACATTGCGGATGCGCAGTTGTCAGACAGAGACAGGGGTTATCGTCGCCACGTCAAATTAACATGACTTAATCAGTTCATATTGCCTCTATAGCTATCAGTTTGACAGCTTGAGTGATCTTAAGCCTTTTTAAAAAGCCTAGCTGTTTTATTGATTAATATTGCAAAGGTTGTAATTATAACAGCGTATATACTGCTTCAGTAAAAGTTGCAGCAAAAAAAGGCTTGTTCTTATTATCAAGACCATCAGGGTGTGTATGACTCCTCTATCGCCTCCAAATAGACTAAAAAGCCAGATTGCGACGCAGTGCCGTTCTTGATGTGTTTGACGCAATTCTGACGTCGCTAGAGACTCTTCCTTCACACCTTTCACCTACCTTCTTGACATCTTCATGACACAGACGATAGGCAATTGCTAGCAATAGCGTAAAAGGAATGGAAGCAAGCCTAAAGCTTCTTAAGTCGTAAGTCTTGACAAGCATCTTCGTTTTCTTGGCTTCATTTTTATAGAGTGCCATCAATCTCGCCCATGGCGCCTCCTTACTTAACCTGAGGGAGAAGGATCTTTGTTAGAGGAGTCATACAGGTTGTTAAGACGTATGACAAGTCTGAAATCTAGAAAGAAACATCTTAATTACTTATCCGCCGTATTAATAGAAGGAGAAACTTTGACAGAATATTGACCCGGACTTGTGCACAAGCTTGTGTTAAAATGCCTTTGAGAATCAAGTACAGATGTCATATGTAACCTCCTTTTAGAGCTTTTCTTTACGTGTATTGTAGACGCTTTGTAGGCCTTCGAGTGTCTGACTAGATGATCTATAAGCTTATAACTTTATAGTTGTCTCTATTCTGGCCAGGTCTGTATGATTCATTCAGTCTTGTAGGAGTTCGGCGGATTGATTTATCATGACTGTACGTGTAGCACAAACGACATGTCTCCCATGTTTGAAAAACGAGAATGAATAGGAGTTACAAGGTACTTTTCCATAGTGCTGCAATTTTCAATGGTATCCATTACACATGAAACTTCACAAAAGCGCACTCCTTTGTTTCATTTTTGTAAGTAATACCTTGCAAAAAAGCAAGGTAAAGATCGCGTGTGAGTGGCAAGGTTACGCACTTAAGGGGATCTCTCAAGTCATAAGAGCCAACAAGGTTCAATCATGGTGATTCCACTCTAATACAGAGTAGGCGGTATCGTACACAAATTGGGGCACATAGGTCATTTTCTCATGCTCCTGGGACGTTTCAAGTAGTAATATGTACCATAATGATTCATTCTTTCTTGCAGCGATGCAGGAATGAAAAAAAAGTCGACAAATATGTGCACTTTGATTTGAAGTCCAAACTTTATTCCCGTGTTTCGGATAAGGAAGCATTCCTCCAAAAGAACGAGTACCGCGTGTTACGTAAACATGCAAATACGTTCTTGTGAAGTCGCGGAGGTCGAGTGTGGATAGCAAGGTTGCGCTCCGAAGTAAGCCTGTTATTTACCTCGACCTTGAGATGTTCTCGGAAATAGTATTTACATTTGACCCTTTCCGGCAGCGATGCAAGGACGAAATATGTGGATTATAATGGCATTCCGATTTCGAATTTCTATAAAGTTAACACAATAATCCTGTGCAGATACGTACAGTGCTTTTAAAAATGATAACCTACTTAATCTCCAATTTCTCAGCATTAATGGATGATAACGGTTGCCAAATCACAGCTGACTATAGGAGCTCCAGATTTCCTGTCTGATTGAACCTCGGTCGTGGGATCTTCTGTTGTCAAATGTTTTGGGAATATTCTGCATTTCTGATTTAAAGATTTCGCCATACGTCAGGACATAAACTGTTAGCAGCCCCTGAGTATCCCCAGTATACATGTACGCCTACATACAGACACACCCTTATTGTTTGGCAATGAAAGACTCTAAGTACTTTAAATATTAGTTTCATGCATAGTATCAAATATAATTGTTTCATAAAGTCTCCTATTTTGCATAGTGTCACCTGTAGTTTCATAGTTTTTCCAATAGTTTCATAGTGGCTTTAGTTTCATAGTGTCCCTTATAGTTTTATAGTGTCCCCCATAGTTTCACAGTGTCACCCATAGTTTCACAGTGTCACCTATAGTTTCATTGTGACACCTATAGTTTCACTGTCACCCATAGTTTCATAGTGTCAACCATATATAGTTTCGTTGTCACCTATAGTTTCATAGTATAGTAGCATAGTATAGTTTTACAGAGTCACGCTATTTCAATCAATTGCAGTGTACTGGCAAATATGACTGTGATTCAGTCCAACAATGTAATAATACTACATTTTGTATATGCACAAAGCGTGGGACTAAGCGAAGTTGTCCCTCTAGCTTATTTGTTCCAAACTGCAGTTAGTAGCGGTCTCGGCAGTAGCGTCCAAGCTTCTTGCACTTCTCACAGAGGTGCTGCGGGTGGTGCTTCTGGGTATCGATCACGCCGTCCAGGCCCTCTGGCTTCTCCAGTTTACGCTAGGAAAGAAGTGCTAAGATTAGATTGAAAGGTTGTAATGAATAAAAAAAATAGTTCACCACGATACATGGACCAAGTGTCCGGTACCATACACACAAACACAGCTACGCACAAAAATATATTAACGAGGCTTCACGGTAATTAATTGGTCACCAAAAAACATGGTTTCGCAACTAGTGTATTCACTGATTTTGTTTGACACTAATTTTGTGTGTCCTACCCGTGTATGGGTACACACTGCTGTCCTACCTGTGTGTGCCTGTACACGTTAATCTTGCAGCACTGACACTGCTGTTCCACGCCCTACCTGTGTGTATGCGTGGGTACAGTAGCAGGTTGGACATTGCTGCCCCATGCCTTACCTGTGTGTGCGGGTACACGTTAATCTTGCAGTCCTGACACTGCTGTCCCATGTCCGCCCAGCTGTTGGCAGACACCCAGGTCCTGTCACACTGCGGACAGCTAAACTCGCCGAAACATCGCCGGTTTCCCTGGTACGGCGTCAGGCCTTTTCCTCCACCCTTGCTGGCCATTTTTCAATGTATGCAGGAACTGTAGATGTATGGTTGAAAATATTGATTCTTTAAGTTTGTCTCAATGTATTTATCATGGACAGACCATTGACATTAGACAAGGACAAATAATTGAGTGTTGTGAATACTTTATCGGTTAGAAGGACGTGTACATTAGTCAAATAGAGCTAGAAGCACTTGGTACCTTCGATGTATGTTTATGTTCGTAGTAGGATTATAGCTGCTAGCCACTGACATTGCTTGTACCGCTTTGAATAGTCTTGTACGTCATAATAAGATCGCTAGAGGTCTCTCCTGAGCAGCAGAATTCAGAAGCCTATTTATAGGCTTTATATCAGTTATTTGGTGAATATCGATTGCTCTACAATAAGCATTCTACGGGCTTTGAGAGTAATTTCACACGCATTTTAGTGCTGTAATAAACTGTAACAAAGGGGGGTCGTGTGGCGTAGTGGCAGAGTGCGCGACTCGGAACTTAGAGTCCAGGGTTCGAGTCCTGACATGCCACCGATCTTGTGCCCTTGGGAAAGGCACTTTACACGACTTTCCTCACTCAGCTCAGGGAGTATTGTCATGTCATGTATTTGTCCCCTGTGTTGGTGGCGGCATTAATATAAGTTGAAAAAACTTGAGTGTGTCGTCACCACGTCTGGTGATTACATGTTGGAATAAAAAAAAAAATAAAAAAATAAAAAACAAGAGTTCCACGATCTCATACCTTCGCCAAATTATGTTAACCCTTGCGGGTGACGAATCATACAATTTCAATAATTGATTTTGCAAGTAAGAGCCTCATTTGCATGGATTGTATCAGTTGATCATATTCTCCACCCAATGACAGCCTTATCTTCCTATAAGGAAGATAAGGCTATTATAGGCTATTATAGGACTTGCTCATAAATTATGCAAATGAGGTAATGATTTGAATAAATTATATTTATTGATGTTTGCCTTCACTTAACTTCCAAATGTGGCAAGTATGAAATTCCCAGCAGTTACAACTATGAAATTATGAAAAATTCCCTAATTATGCAAATTAGGTCTTCATTTACATAATATATATCCTCGGATTTTTTTTTCGTTCTCAATTACATGTCACAAGTGTTTCATAGTCCTATTATCGAGCAAAACAGATTTATAGAATTTCCTCATTAATTATGCAAATTAGCTCCTGATTTGCATAATTGTCATTGATTATGTCAAGCATCACTTCAGCTACCTACACACCAAAAATCACGACAATCCGCCGACTGGTTCTTGAGTTATCCTTCTTCAAACATTTTTCAACAAATGCTCCTGCAGTTCCACAACAAGCCGCTAGGGGGTCCAAACTCATGTCACTTCTTCCCTACCCCAAGAGCTATCTACCACCAAACATTGGTGACCTTAGTATGTCCAGATCGCGAGATATCAAAACCGGAAGTTCTGCTGCAGTACCTAGGAAAGCCGCCAGGGGGCTCAAAATCTAATCATTTCTAGCTCTCATCAAGACCTACCCACCTACCAAGTTTCATGACAATGCATATTAAGCTTCTTGAGTTATGCTGTTCACAGACAGACAGACAGACAGACAGACGGACAAACGCTACTGAAAACATAACCTTCTTGGCGAAGGTAATAAAAAAAACAGTAACATTTGAGGCGGGTTTTATCACATTTGGACAAGACAGACCATGTGAAACTGTTCATTATTTGTAACCGTTGAGACGCGCGCGGAACCCCGGTAACCTGATACCCTCCTTTAGAATGGAAACTTTACCCTAGAAACTGACCGCCGTGTTTGCAAACAAACGAAGTGTAAACATGGGACGATCATAATATATATGTCGTTAGTTGACTACGATAAAGTCCAATGTCTGACAGTAACAATGGTAGACAATACTAGACATTGAATTATTAATGCCATGGTGCCAACGATACTCACAACACTTCCGGGGTGCCAATTTTACGAATCGTGCTACCAACACAAACATACATCGAAGGCACTAAGGCCGGGCTTCTAGCTCTATTTGACTGGCATACAGGTCCGTCCAAAAATATAGTTATCTATTTGACTGATGTACACGTTCTTCTAACAGATAAAGTATTCACAACACTCAATTCTTTGTCTTTGTAATTGTCTAAATGTTAATTAAAACCCTCCCGGCATATGTATTCTCTGCTATGGGACTTCAATGATAAAATGAACATAACGTCGAGTATACGTACCTCTAGAGCCATTTTGGCCATTTGTATTGAACATGAAGTCAACAGCGTGAATGTAAAGTCAATAGTGTAGTGCCCAGCCATATTTGCGCCAGCCTAACATAACAGCCGTGTGCAAGTACAAAGCACGTACTATAATTCTGTTGAATTCTTACCTTCTTAATCTGCAATTTCTTGACTTTTAGAGAAGATATTGTCTACTAAGCCACAGCTGACTACAGGAGCTTCAGAAAGTCTGTGTTCTCAGCCCTCAGGTGTAGGAAACGTCTGTTCGAATCTTCTGGAAATATTCTGCCCATAGTTTCATAACGTCATTATGCACATGCGCATTTGTCGACTTGTTGGTTTCGGAATACGTCACAATAGAGACTGTAAACAGCCTTTGAATGCCCACGGTATACGCCCAAGTACACGCCTTTAAGGCATGTAATGCAAGACTCAATACTTTTAGTTTCATAGTATCATGATATCATCTATTGTTTCATAGTCTTTCCCAGAGTTTCGTAGTGTCACCACAAGTTTCACAGTGTCGCCTACTATTTCATAAAGTCACCGACTTTCATAGTATCGCCTAGTTTCATAGTGTCGATGGCGTCTACTCGTCATATAGAAACCAGTTCGGTAGGCTATTCATGACTTTCAATGTAGTTTCGTAAGGTATACTCCCATTGTTGGTCCTGACTATCGCTAGGAGGCTACATTTGTTGACAAACGAGTGCATGTTTACTTCTTTCCATTTCCAAGTTACTCCACTCAATCTAACCCAATGAAAGAACGAGAAAACAGGAGAAAAATGCAAACATACACGATTTAATTGCCGGTTTTCAACAATGCCACTGAGTTCAAACCGGAAACAAGACATATTTAATTTACTTTTTTTTTCAATTCTCCTGTAAAAGTTTATACCTTTAGCTAAAAGCATCCATCGGGAGCCCGTGACATCTTACGGTACTTAAATTTTCCCCTTTCACCTTATGGAGTACATATACTCGTAGTACGTATATACATTTTGAATTAGTTGCTCCTTTGCTGTCAAGTTTTCAAAGCCGTAAACACATCGAGGTGCTGTAGACCTATCTAAGGACGACCCCTAGCGGCATCAGCATAAAGTACATCGCTATCAAGATCAATGAACTTTCATCACATATGTACACACAGCTGGATCGTATCGACAATCAATCAATAACAAAGCAATTCATAATTCTTAGTATGCCCTTCTATGTCCACATGCCTACATCCCTTGCCTTGTCTCACATCCAAACGCTTTCTATTCAATTCATTCAACTTGGTATCTAACAATAGTTATTTTCCATACACTCAACAGCAATGTAACGATCATAACAACATATAGTATTTAATTTATATAGATATTTCTGAATAAATAGTTTGAACATCTAGATAAGTATACATTCTATATCAAGACATGCCAAATTCTTACTCGTTTTAAATAATTATGCATTCTATTTCAAGGCATGACAAAATCTTACGCATTGAAATCTTTTGTAGTTCCAAGTGTTTCCATTGCTGTTTCGTTGTACAACGCATTACCCTGAAATTTCGGACTTACCAACAATAACAACAAATCGGAGAAGACAATGAAAATCTAAACATTAAGTCATCTGTACAAACACACGCTTGGCACTTATAATATCTGCTGAGAATATCTGCTGAGAATTCCTGTTACTTCCTTTACAATTCAGATAAAATGGCCGTCTTGCCTCCTTTCACAATATTTCGTTGTTCAATAACAATATAGCTGACACCACACTTAACATTTAATCCTGGCTTCATTTCTTCAATACACGGCATTTTATACTCTTCTACAGCCTCGCGGTACTAGCTTTATATACAGATAGTGCAGCATAAATCTCTCTATAGTATCAATTTAATCACCAATATACACTCTACATCATAATCAAACTGTACAAAATCACAATTGAATCAATCATTCATGGATTTATGTTTCATTAAGAAGAAACATTTGAATCCTATCGACATCAAATATACATGTTGTAAGCCACTTCTTCATGAATAAATAGTCTGCAGCTATGTACAGTTGGGCTGTTAAAGGCCCTCTTTCAATTATACAAGGCGATCACCGAGTGACCGTTGAGTGACCCAAAGTGGATTTGTGTGGCTGAGTTATTGATGTAAGCAATTCATAGAGCGATCTGCCATTTTATGGGTTGGTCAGCGATCGCAGCTTTTATTGGAAGGGAGTGTAAGCGAGTGAAAGCGACAAGATTATAAGAGCACAGAAAATCTACCCACAGCCTGCATGTGGGGCTTGGTTTGGTCCTGTTGTAGGTAATATTCTGGGTGGAAACGTCTGTACATGATTCTCCATCCGAACGAACTCGTGTGCCTGCTCTTTCGTTTCTATTTTGCAATAATGGTCAAACGTCTTCCAGGGGTAGAAGCTATATAATACACAGCTTTGGGAAACCTTTTCCACCACAACGATTTGATTATTCATTCATGGAAATTTACTGCATTTGTCGCTGGCACACCCACCAGAAAATAACCCCTACTTCTTTCTTGGTGGCGTGGTGGGTTCTTTAACGTGCTTGAGGTGTGGTTCTCCTCAAACACGGGACCTTCAGGTTTACGTCCCATCCAAGAGGATGTCCCTAAACTAGGCTCATCTTCACCTGAGCCGAGTGGGCAAATAGGTGTCAATCACATTTCTCAAGGACACAACACTTGGGCTTGCCAGGGATTCAAACCCAGAACCTTCCGATTCTGAGTCAACAACCCTAACCACAATACCACCTGGCCACCTACATAACCATTTTTTTTCAAACTCGTGCTGTTATCCCCTCTTTTCACAATAAAGGGCTGTAATCAATGCAAGTGTAAAACCTTTTACACCTGACTGATCCAGCTGACGACCCCAACAGTTGGCTCGGTGGTGCCCGTGCACCTGTGACTGTTGTGCCGCCTCGTGACATCGTTGGGAACTGCAACTAGCTCGATCTCGCCTGTGTCCGGGGATCCCTTCAGCTTTGCTGGATCCTCCTTGAAATAATGATAAAACAGTGAAAGAATTCAGTAGGTTACACATTGAACATATGTAGGTTAGAATTACGTAGCTTAGAAACCTTTCAACAGTTTCTTCTCTCACTACAGGAAGGACTTTTCATCATGTGTGTGATGGGGTGGTTCTTTAAGGTGCTTGGGACTCAGGACCTTTAGATTCTGCCCCAACATCCTTCACAACAAGACCGCCATACCAGCTATGACTAAATATGGTTATTCGGCAGTATTTGTTGAGAAGGCGGTGCACGGTACTTGCTCTATAGCAAGATTGCGTGAGAAGCGAAGCGAAGAGGTGAGGGTGCAGAGCTCAAGGTTTTTCGAGGGAACAACAGAAGAATGTCAACGCGCATACAAATAAAGATGATTGTTATTGGCCGCTGCACTTCCAGTGGAGTTAAAACTATTTTGGACATGCTTGAGGGAAGAGGGCTAGTGTGCTTGCTAGAGTCATTAGTCTTCTATAATGCTACAAAAACAAGGACAAGACTGAGATTCTGAATAAAAAATGTTCATGCTTTGGATAAGGCACAGGAGCACAGGAAGGTCGTAACGAATGAGGGAGGAATGCGGCAAGAACTTCCAGACTGGAGAGTTCGTTTCTGCACCACACAATCAGACTCTACAACAGTCAATTGCTTAGTCTTTATGTGTTGTATATGTCGGTGTCGTGAATCTGTAAGTTTTTTTTTTTATGTACATGTAAGGTCAATACAATTAAGCAGTCCATAATTTTCTTTGTTTATGTACTGCTGCTATGTTGACCATTGTATGAATGAAGAATGCTCACATGGTTCTCGGCGTTGGGCGTGGTGCGGTTGGTGGAGCGGCGTCTCTTGTCGGAGGTGTTGCGGAGGTTGTTCATCCTGCGGAACGTGCAGCACGGTAGGCCGGCCCGGCGGAACGCAGACGCGAACCCCTTGCGGAAGTTCCGGTTCATGCAGCCGTAGACGATCGGATTGACGCAGCTGTTGACGAAGGCCAGCCAATGAGCGATGGGGTAGCCGTACTTGAAGATGGACTCCTTGACGGGGCAGCTGAGGTCGCCGTAGTCGGCCAGGAAGGTAACGGTGTGCAGGGGCAGGTGCAGGAGGGTGAAGATGACCACGACCACCACCAGCATCTTGAACACGCGAACCTGGAGGTCAAGGGAATTTAGGGTTAAATTGCCATGTCTGACAAAGGACTGGTTGACGACAGCAAAATAATATAAGAAGAAGTAACAAACCATTTTTTGACAGAAAAAAGGTAGTGAAAATTTAGTTTTAGGCAGAGGTTTAGGCGTCGGCTTATTCGTGACGTTTTTTAGGTGTTTTTTCGGACTTTCTTTCTTGTACTGCTCTTTTTATTACACCAATGGATACTGCCTTTCCTATTTAATACTGTCTTGCAGCCAACAAAAGGTCTGTTTGAAGCTGGGACTAGTTCAAGGGTTCGTTCGGGTATTTGCTGCAATGACCACAAGTTTAGTCACCAGACTGGAACCCACTTTATTGGATTGCACAGAAGACAAGCTACTCCAACCGCCCAAGTCACATATTACCCAGAGAATGGGAAATTGACCCTACCTTGTATCCTAGTTTACTGGCGGCGCCGGTGGTGCCCCAGGCCCCGCAGTGTGCGCTGGAGCGGACGCTGGTGTTGTACAGGCGCACGGCGATGCGGATGTACAGGGACGTGATGGCGACCAGCGGGGCCAGGTAACACATCACGAACAGGGCCAGAGTGTACAGGCGGTGTCCTGCGGGAATACAAGGTAAAATGGCACCCAAAGTCATGGCAATACCATTTTTGTGGTCTAGCTGCCTTTATATCTTACTATGTAGTTTTCTCAGATTGTAGACAGAAGCAAAGTATGTGTTACTGGCACCGATAATTTCATAGTTGAGTAACCACGAGGGAAAGATTGGGACAACGACAAAAGCTAGCTTTTTTATGGCAGCCTGCAGATAGTAGTATAGGTGGATTGGCTATCATGGATGTTACAGCCAAGCCATGCATGCCAACCCATATCTACATTGTACAAAGCAAAAGACTTGTGTACGTAGCCCTGTACGAAAAAATCGCAATAAAGATTGTCATTTGTTATCACCTACCATCAGGAAAGGTCCAGTACTCGAAGCAGGTCTTGTCGTTCTTGTCGAATTTGGTAGCGAAGGAGATGGGCGCCATGATGATGATGGCTGACAGCCAGATGACCAGGATGATGCAGAAAGTGCACATGCCCGTCAGTTTACCGTCATTCGGCGCTGTCACGGCTAGGTATCTGTCAGGACAGAGATAAACAGACAAGTAAAAATTCAGGGTCATCGTCTTTGGTAAACATTAGTCTTTAAGTGCGATAGCGGCAAGCTATTTTATGTGCAATATACGTTTGAATGTCCGGAGCACAGCAGTCCTTTAATACTTGAAAATATAGAAAGGCGCATTTTCATCTAATACTTGAAAGCCGGGGCCAAATCATAGAAAATGCAAGGGATTTGATTAGCGTTTGACACAGTTGGTGCGACAAGCACGTACAGTGGGAAATGCTATAATCTGACCTGTCCACAGCAATGGCCACCAGAGTGAAGACTGAGGCGCCGTACGCTATCCCCTGTACGGTCGGCAACAGCTTACACATCAGGGCACCGAACTCCCAACCTGCCGGAGAAGAGAACGAAGTTACATGCGGGAAATGGAATTAAAATTAAGAAAAAAAAATATTTCAAATAATACTTAGTATTGTCTTGCTAAACACGAAGAGACGAATTTCTCAGGTAGCCTGATCTTTTATTATTCATATATTATCTAGTACATTTGTATCTTATATGCATGGCAACAATGTTCTCTTAATTGTAATTCAAGCTTAATTCATTTGACATATATTTTTATGCATCAACGGCAAATATATACTGCTAGAATGAAAGTGTTGATTAAAACATATTAGATTCGATTGGGCAAACACAGAGGTATATTTACAGATTATACTATCATCGATGCAAACTATGTCTTAGTCTCTCACCTGTTTGGAAGTTGTCTATGAGCGTGATCGGCATACAGAACACTCCCACCAGCAGGTCCGTCACGGCGAGGTTCGCTATGAAGTAGTTGGTGACGGTCCGCATGCTCCTGTTCTTCGCCACCACGATACAGACCAGCCCGTTCCCGCAGAGACAGGCCAGGATGACCAGGACGTACACCACGATCAGCAGCACCACGATGGGCAGGGACTGCTTGTACTTCGGGTTCGCCACCATGTCTTCACAGTTGCCGACGGCGGCGGTGGTGTTGTTGTTGTTGTCGGTCATGTTGTACACGTAGGCATCGAGCATGGCCGCAGAAGTAGCGTTCCACGCCATTTCTGGGGGACAAAAAACGGTATGACAGTCAAGTTAAACTTCATTGCACAACGTAACGTGGATAACCACCAAGCAGATTCTGTGGAGCAAGGGGAGTCTATATTGGCCGCCTTATTCCACCCACGGCCAGCGGTTACAGGAGGCCAATGGATACAGGCGGCCAATATAGACTCCCGTTGCCCCATAGAATCTGCTGGTAGATTACAACGTGGATACTTTATATCTCAATAAGCTTCATAAACATTAGTCTACAAAGACAATCTTCCGGAAGATCTTTAAAATAGACGCAATAATTAATTGTAACAGGTACAATAAGACAAAGAGCTGTGCAAGACTTCTAAGCTAAATACATAATCTTACTTAAAACATTGAAATGTACATGTGATGAAAGAATGGAGAAGAAAAGGGCAAAGAGTGTAACGTCTAGGAGAAGGCGAGTCAGAGGTGGGGAGAGAGCGAGGAAAAGGGATGAAAGAGATGGAGAGAGAAAGATGGCTTGTTACGCTTGATTCCCTATATAGTATCAAATATTACGTGTGCTACATATACATTCCGCACCTCCGTTTCAATTTCCGCAAGGTAATTTTCCATCTGGCTTAGGAACACATAAGCCCCTCTATAATTACTGCGCCGCGCTCTTGGTTTGTAGAACCATTAAGATGTAATATTGTTTCCGGTAGGAGTGCCGCCCTCGGCTCACCGTCTGTCAGTTCACATTTCCCCAATGAAACGGAAGTGGGCACGGGTCGAGCCGTTGTGTTTTTCGGACGTTGCAGCAATTAAATCCAGCGGAGCGAAGCGCCTTAGCGGGCGGTATGAAGAAATTATGAGAAACCCAAGAGTTCTAGAAAATCCCATTACCTCCCCAGCCCCTGCCGGGTCTCTCGGTGATTCGATCAGGCAGGTTTTTATATTACTCGTCAAAACAACTCTGGCTGAGTAATCCTTACAAATTACTACAATCTATTTTTTCGGCAGAGACGTCTCGAAACTTATGAACTGTGACTACTAGTGTGATAGATGCTGCCCAATGAAGAGAAGTTGGGCTCAGCTTGAAATAAAGTTCATCTCTGTTGGTAGAAGTCAATAATTAAAGGATGCTCACGACTGGGGATTGAGTTTGAAGAACGTTTATTCACACTGATGAAGCAATTAACAGCTCAACTAAAATTAAATCCTTCATGAATCCAATTTAATATGAGGAACCACGCAGTGCAGAAATAGCAAGAAAAACAACAGCCAAAAATTAATCTGAGCACATGAACATAAAAGGGCCCGGTGTTTATGAATTTAAAAAAATCTTTCTACTCAATGCATATTGCAAACTCTGTCTACTTCTGTGCAGTTCATATGAGTGTAGTATCGACACTGTAGAAAATAGATGTCGTAGAATTTATGCCTGATAATATCCTAAAACCAACGGCAGTGACATCTTTATGTATTAAGGAGTACATGTCATAGAATTTATGCTTTGACGCCCTAACACCATTCACATGTCTAATATATACTATTATGCCTCCAACGACCACAACATAAATTCCAATTATAGTGTTCATTTCCAATAACTCCAGGGGAGGCAACAAAACGAGCATGATAAGCAGAATACACGTATCGCACGGCATTGATCGGGTATTCACGACATGGCTGCCATCCATGTGAATGAATATGTAGCCAGCACATGCGCGATGGAGCTTCTGTCGCACGGAACCTGTCCTAAACATCACCATGACCCGCCAGGGTACAGGGTGTCTCCGGCTCCATTTTCTCCGGCTCCGGCTCACACGTCGCAGAACGCCGGGCAACAGGAGAGGGTCATGGATCAATGGTCATTGAGACACTGTGGCGGGAAACGTCTATTTCTATCCACCCTGAAGTGCCTCGCCTCTGCAGTATCCCTACAAAAAGCACTCATTCACACACTCAGACGGTGACCATTACCAACTCCAAGGCTACTAGAAGTCACTCTCCCCGGCGTCTCATTGATGCACCTTGAGTACGATAAGCGGAATGAAGCGGGCGCTTGGCACAAAAGACACTCCAAGTCCTTCAGACAACTCGGCATCCGCAGACAAATCTCCCCGCATGTTCAACAGCCATCAGGGACACGTCAAGCCACTTTCACCTCCAATCCTTCTCACAGCCAATTTTCTCAGTATAGATTCCTTCAGCACACGGACGCCGCCTGGATGACTTTCCTCCCGCAGTACTGAACGGTATCACTGTTTCATGTAATAACCGGATGGATACGTCTTTTCGGCCGGAGGCTATGTCTGATTTTCTTAATGGCTTCAAACCATCTGAAGGTTCTTGCGGCATTACTTCGGTCTAGCCTGGAGCATCACTTGTTGAAAATTTTCATTAGAACGCTTCTTTTCACATGAAACGGTGGCTACATATCTGAGAACTAATATTCATAGTAATCTTTTTTCATTAACTGAGGACGCCAACTAATATGCAATGGATTAAGAAGTTTTTATCTGGTTGACTATCACAGATATATAAACTGTCAGCAACTCAAAGCGTAATTATGTTTACTTAAAATCGAAGTGGTTGGTTTGCAGCAATACTAGAATGATGATGATGATGATGTATAATACTATAATGCCAATAATGATATTATACAAAAAGACAAAACCATATTTATAGCCTAGTTATTTCTTAACGCTGTCGTACCCATGTGTTCCCATGCAATTAGCCTTCGGGCATAGATTTGCAAATAAAGTTTGAGAGCTTTAATCTTGTATTGTGGCTGTGGCGTGCATCTGACCTTCACTGTCTGCCGAGTTATAGGCTTGGGCGAACTTCACCGGAAATTGCAGAAGCAGTTTTATGGAGTTGTGTGAAATCCTGTGGCTTAGCTGACGTACGCTGGAGTTTATATAAGACAGTCGTTTGTTGGCTGCTTACGAATGAGCTGCTGTACGTATTATGTAGGTATCGTCAGCAAACGGGATCTCGTGGGTTTATCTACAGAGAACTAGAGTCATCTGCTGCCTAATGTTTCACTCATCAGTCATCAGTCAGTAATCAGAACAAAGGAGGAGAGTTTGAAGAAATGGTGTCAGCTGTGTGTAAAAACTGTGGTAACGATGATAGCTTGTATGTGCTGAGCGAACTGGACAACACATCAGTGTTAGTAGTAACTCTTTGACTACCCCAAGGTAAAGGCATAAAAAGCCGTAAAACCCCAAACGGGGACATTCGGTAACAGGTTTTAGTGATGGGTAACTAGATATTATTCCAATTACCGCAGAGCACGAATGGTACAACCAAAAGAGCATAGAATGACAACCAACAGACTCGCTATCGTTTGGAGAGTTGGATAGAACCTCCTGACTCGGTGGTTTAGATGCTACCTACAACTGAACCTACGTCAATGGCGGCTATGTAGCTCCTACCTGAGCGATGACGTATAGCGAAGGATCGCTTCCCATTTTATTACCCTCCCAGGACAGACACGACAAGCTGCCAAATCTAATCAGGTAAATCAGGGGATCAGAAATATCCGAAATTGGCACACTTTGTCACCTAAGGCATTACTATTCATTTGATCAACCCAAGAGCACCTTTAGGACTATGGGAAGCCCTTTTAGGGCTATGGGAAGTCCCTTTAGGACTATGGGAAGTATACGTAATTACACCACTGGCAACAATTGACTCAAGCCGTAATAAAATGTGTTAGCTATAGATATTACTGTAACACAAAATCAAGATGTCTAACACATTGCCTTCGCTTAGTGCCTTGTCCTCAAGTTGACGAAGATGCTGTGTTGAAGATGCTGTGGATCCTCAAACGGTCGAGTGATTTCAATTTGACCTCAATTTATCTTTTTTGTCTCTATATAAGATTTACACCAGGCATATTTGTGAGCTGAGATGGAGAATATAAATCATAAATGGTAATCTCTACACTATCTGATACAATGGGAATGTTTTAGCAGACTATATGGCACTTGAAGATTCCTCTGAACGGTCTTGTGGCCTTTCCATTCTACCGGAATGTAAAATCAATACTTAATGTCACCAGGAAATGCAATCCCACAGACCGTATTGTACGAGCCAAATGACAGGGGTCCAGTAAATCAAATGAAAGGCTTCTTACATCCATTCATTAGCCATCCTTTAGCAGACTCGGGCGCCTAGAGTGCTGGTCCGCCCACTTTCCATTAACTTCGCTCTCTAGTCAGATCTTGTTTTTGCACGGGGAGGAATTCTCTCATCTCTTTCAGTAGCAGATTGAACCCCTTTTACGTACTTTAACCCGTGATAAAGACGAGACCTGGCTTGTTAAGGTTCTGTGGGGAAGATATGCAGTTATCTTTAGTGCCCATCGACACGAGTGTGACGCACGGGATGGTCGCGTTCCCGGAAAGGTCTTATCCCGGGAACGGGCGCTTCATTTCGCCGAATTCAGCCGGGCCTTTCATCCGGAATGGGATGCAATAATTCAGGCGAGTGTCGGTCTCCCCGTGCGGGTAGGGGATTGATGGGTGATACAGGAGCTTCTTTGTAAGACAAGAGAATACGAACCATTAAGGATAATCTCTAATGTGACAAAGACAATGCTTTCGTGAACACTCAATGATTAGCCCCTGCATTTGAGGAAAACCCTCAGTAATGTACATATAAACACCAGATAGATCTGAACGCTGAGTATCACATTGGGTGTCGGGCACAATTTACCATATGAATGAAAGCCAAGCAGATGTCAGGAGGGAAAGACTGACGTAACATGGAGTTACGCGATTGTTTACAACCGCTAATATGCTATATTATATATTGTTTCTCCGTCAGAAAGAGCTCATGATACTTAACAATTGTCTTATTAGCATTAGTCAAATTCTAGTCACTAAGGTGCCCAATTATCAATCTCATGTCAACCAACCATGTATTTCCATCTTGGCCAAGGCCAGTTTTTAAAAAAACATTTCTGTTAAAACTCTATACATTCTACGTGTTACCTTGCAATTAGCAATTAGAAGACGTAGTGCCATGACAATGAGTGTATCTTCCCTTTCTAACTTGTGACAAAAATCACAGTGAATATTCTAATTTCATGCTTCATCGACATGCCCTTCAGACAAGTTATCACGATCGTAGACGGAGTTTTATATTAATTCATGCAATTTCAACAAATCAAATTAACAATGCCGGCCTTGATCTAATTATGTACACAATGTATAAATGTACAGCACCGCTATTAGGCCATGTTGATTTGATTATATGGATGACATCCTCTGGGAACCACAAAACTAATGTGCGAGAGCGAATAAAAAAAGTTTGGCAAAAAAAGTTGTTTTCATTCATCACGTCCGAAACTTCATGCGCGCGTGGATGTCATCCATGTAATCAAATCAACGTGGCCTTGTGAACGTTTACAGGGAACGAGTGGTGAGTATGATACATTGGTTGAGCTGACTGAGATACAGTCGAGACGCGCCGTTTGCCACGTTTCATCCAAATGACTGAGAGATCCCAGGAGAACACCGTAATGTCCGGGATCAACTCCGGGCGCCGAAACGGTCCGTGCATAAAGTAGCATTTGGATGGAAAGTTCCATAGCGCCACTTCATACAGATCATATCATACAAATGTAGGGACTCAAACGTACGACGACGTGCTTACGTATTTTGGGATTTTATTGACTCTAGCCTATAGCAATACGTACGTATGCCTTAGCATCATTCATATCATTGTCTGGGTAACTGTTCAAGTTTCTTCCCTCGAGGAGTCATAATATGAACAGTAATAATATGATAATGCAGTAATGAATATACAGTACGCGATTACTTTCCACCATCAAACAAAACTTATAATTCAGAAAAAAAAAACATTTAAACAAATTTATGTATATCATGTGACGGAACAAAGCAGATTTCTGATGTCACTGATTTATATTCCAAAGTATTTGCATCGTCGACAGCTCTGAGTTAGCTTAATGATCAAAACATCATTTCTTCTGAGCGACCTTGAGCGCATCCATCGACAATCTATTGCATATACTATTGTATAAATAGAGTGGGGAAATAGGGAATTTATGCCGGCCTAGCCCTGAATTTTATAGTTTCTAGACCGACCGTAAGAAAACACGCCGATCCTAGCTTTTGGGGGACCGGACGCTGTCAAGTTTATTTTTTCAACTCGGCCGTTACTCTAAACTTAAAAGTTGCATTATATTGAAAACAAAACTATATGATATCAAAATCGTGCACATGTATTTTAGATGCAGCTAATAATCTACTGACAAAATATCTAGGCTAGATTAATGAACGAAATTCAGTTTTAGATTTAGAATAGCAATCTATGTAATATATATGTATGCGCATATGTATGCATGATATAAACGTAAATTTATATGTATCTAGACAAGTGTAGTGATACAAACGAGGTGCAGTGTAACAACCAGACATGCTATAAGCCGATTATACGTCTTGCTTTAAAACTACACAGTCCAGGCACGAGTAGGGAAAACCCGCTTGTCGCAGACGATCAATTTATGCTGGACTTGGAGCCAATTATCCAGCGAACATACAAATCGAACCAGACTGTTCGACCAGTCGTGCATTATCAGACATTTGGACCGTTCAGCTCGGTACAATATAACTATGACTCTATCGACTGATGGAAATATGTATGCACCACTTGTAGCGCGGGTATGGTTCAGAATGGCAGAGATGCAAACGTTTTATATGCAAATCGTCTTTTTCGAAATAGCATCCCACGTTCTTCGTTTATTATCCATGGATTAATATTCATGTGATAAAAAATTTATACTCACAATTACATAATGTCCATTGATATTTTAAACTGTACATATTTGGCATATTTATATGGACGGCTTGTTGCTCTGTGATATATAAGGGATTTTATCAAAATGCTTCCTTTCTTCAAAATATTTCCTTTCTTAACCCCTGAGGAAGATGTCTGACAAGCTTCGAAGCAGGTGGAAAACATTACATTACAGGTTGGGTAAGAAGAAGAAATTCCAATATTCTAATTCCTGAAACGATCCAAATTATTACATTTTAGATATCATGCAATATCTGCTTGTGATTGCAGGCATGGGCGTCTTTTAATCAGTTCTGCTGTACATCTATGTCGGGTCTGTCAGTGTCGATGGGAGGATGAATGTAGTTATCGACCGTAGATGCCAACACTGGACGAACTATCGCACACAGACGCTGTAAAGTCGAGTCATCAACATCACAAGAAAAATGTCAAAGACTAGTTGCAACTGTTACGAACATTTCCTATCCCAAAGAATGCTGATATATTCCGTGGATAGTTTAATCAGATTGGTAAGCCATGATGAGGTACCAGGGCCATAAAACACAACATCAGAGGAAGGTAGCTACCGAATCATCATCCAGGTAATGTCTTCAAATTTGAGGTCGTGCTACAAGAACTGTACTTTCCTACCTTATATGCAGATTTGCGATTTGTAAGATCTGAATGTACTTGACATGGATGCCCTTGACACAACGTGATCCCTTTGCCTCGGGAAGTCGATGGATTATCTCACAGTAGGAGTTCTAATCTGAATCGATCAAATTGAACATGTAGCTCTACAGGAGGTGAGATTAAAAACCCCTGGGTTGGAAGCTGTACGTACGTGACTGTTTGTTAAATGATCGCGGGCGATTGCAGCACTTTACCCGCATGTTGTGTATGATTTACGGGGTAAAACTGAAGGAGGAGTGATTGGCGTGTAGGTATGAGGTGTGGGGCTTACATCACCGCCACATTTTATTGGCGACGAATTGGCTGTAAAGTTGCCTTAGTGCGGATAGGCTTTAATGAGGAGCCCCTGGCGTCGACGTTGAAACGTGGCCGGCATTCCAACTGTCAACGATCTATCCGCAAAACGGTTCCAGACGATAACATTGTACCTATCTGCGACATATATTCAGGAGGAAAATGCACACTATCGCGCGGCGTTTCAGCTATCTGTATGCGACCACATGAACGGCTTTTCACCATTGCATACGGAGAAAATTTGAATTTATCATACAAAATATTTGAAGTAATTACAAAATTTTCAATATTTTACAATGAAGTAGCGTCCATCATGAAAAACCCGATGTACATTTCGATAACATGTCAGTCCTGAAACGGTTTTCATCATTCAAGCAACAGTGCAAGGCAACCTTTATTGCCCAGAATATCTGCAATATATTCCGCGCTATAATAAATCATGAAAAACATTGCTAATATCGCAATAAATCTAACAATGTTTGAAGGAATGAAGCCTTGGCAGTCTAAGGCCACTGCTTGTACAATCTAGACTTCATGATCATGATTTGGATATATACCGAGCAATGCCGGCAGTAGTTTTGACATCACCGTGACCAGTACACTAAGTGGCTCATACTGGAGGATGAACTACACCGTACATAGACGCACCTTTACCGCTCGGTCTGTGGCCGGACCGCTGTTCTGTCGAGCCGCAGGCCGGCTTCCTCAGCCCCTCTGTCCCCCTCTCCTCACCTCTGCTGATCGGGGAATGAGACAACAGCTGGAATGTCACGACTCACTCTCCCTCGTCTTCCCAGAAGCGCAGCTCTGACGCAGATGGGCGAGGCCATCCAGGCAAATACTGCGGGGGGAGGGTCCAATTTTCTGAAAAAAATTAAGGCTCGTAGAAATGCTGTGTACAGACCCAAACAATACACACCAAGCGATCTCCAATATGTATTTAAAATGCAAGTTATGGTTTTACTCCACACTGATACGAAATAGGATATTTGTGTATTATCACATCAATAGGCAATACATTGTAGGTTAGCCTGAGATGGCGTTGTTTCGTCTTAGCATAAGATATATGTTTCATTATGAACGGCCTAGAATATTGAATGGCTTATTACAATTGAAAGATATATGGCAAATGAGCTATTAAAGCCCATAGACCCGATTCAGTTTGTATTGATCTTGTATAATTATCACAGACAATACGGATCTACAAGTGTGAAACTATTAGGAAATATTGAATGCACAGCGCGCTGCGCACTCTTTTAAAAGTCTTGGTCTGTTTAGTATTCGTTTCGGCTTCAGACTTAAGCCTTTGACATTGCTGAACTTATCTAAGTACATCTACCGACGCTGGGTGAATAATTACTAGTGAATCGGCGAAGGTTTTTGAGAATTCTGACATCATTGTCTGTACATCTAGGAAGGTATACGTACAACATTAAGGTGTTACATCACGTGGTACAAAATACATCAAGCAACTGGGTAATTTTCTAAATATTCAGATATTTTAGCACTCATGCACTGTCTTTTATCATTCTCTGTATAATAAGCAATCTCGATTGCAACTTAGAGGCACGTATGAGCATACGAGATTACTATCCTTATCACACAAACAAACAAACAAACAAGCAAAAAAACAAACGAGCCTAATTCTACGTGCCTTCTTCAGTAACACCACTTAAACATTCTTAGTTATTCAAATCAAATAACAGTAGTCCCAGACCCACCCGATGTAGCTAGCTGAATCGCAGTATCAAACGATCCGTCCCTCCTTCATTAAATGTTCATTAGGTTAGTCCGCGATCACGAATTCCGCCACACGTCTGGTGCGTACCTCCACACTGTAACCTCTCACTGAGTCCCCGTTCCTGGAAAATCGCACCTAAGAGGCGTAATGTCACCATTCCAGGACAAAACACATAATACCACATCGGGGTAGTTTGAATAATTCAGCCGACTCTGCGGCTCGCGCGGCCCGCTGAGAAGCATTGAGGATCCTACGCGCGTGGAATATGGAGGCACGTGGTGACGTGAGGAGAGATGTAATAAGGCTACAGCAAGTAAAGTAACATTCTCCGAATCTTATTTGAGTTCAGGGAAAATATAAGACTTGATTATCTATCACATTTATTTAGTTGTGATAGGTATTTGTAATAGAAATCCGTGATGACTGCTTAAAGTTGTGATGACGCATTTTTGTTGAGATAATTCATTTACGTTTGAGACAACCCTTATCACATGTGAATTCGAAAAATGAGATAAATACCTGTAGCTAAAATACAATTTGGGCATAAATTAGATGCCTAGATTTTCAGTAGAGACCACACGTGTTTGCTGTGGTTTGATGGGAGCAATTCCCGATAAATACTCCTAGACCCAAACTCAAAGATTTCTTCAAGACTCTTTACCGTCCTGAATCGTGTTTTAGACCTGTGACCTCGACCTTTCGCGACTTGATCTCAAGGGCAGATTCTGTGGGAAAATGGCCTTGTGCAGATATCCCAGGTCATAGGTCACGCGATTTTACATGTACACACCATTCAGGTACCATGCGCAAATGATGAGGGACCAAACATTTGATATTTTACTCGGCAAATTTCATACATAAAGAGCGATTTTTATGTTCTGTGTGTTTGGTTGGTTGACTGCCATAGATCATTCGTTAGGAGCAAGAATGTGAAAAATGTGTGACAGATACGAGCGTTGCATATATGTACAGGGTAGGTGTGCAATGCTGGAGCTACACATTGTTAGCTCCCATCCACAAATTAGCTTTATTCAGCCTGCGGCACCAGACTGACTACCTCCCGGCTGTGGCTTCATCAGCGCTCAAGCGGCAGTAAAACACCTCCGGAGCCAGATGATTCCGTAGGCTTGCTAATCAAGAAACATCTGAGTGTGTGTAAGATCAATGACGTTATATAACGAACTTGGTAAGATTGCATGGAGATAGATGTCTGCCCAAGTTTACAGTTGAACTAGATGGCAATCGTCATGTAAAACGGCACAGCATGAAAAGATTACCATTATTTTAGAATAATTTGGAAACCCGTGCCTATCTAGTTCTACACCTGAATGGGTTATAGAGATAGGATCAGACACGATTCTGGATTGTCTCCACGTATTCAAGACCGTAGATTTGCCCCAGGTACGGTTCTGGATACGAGTGGAGTCCGTTGACTATCGAGAACCGTGCCCCGAGTGTGGTTCTGGATAAAGCACGGTTTTTGATACAGCAGACCATTGACAGAACGGGCTTCGGATTGGCCGTCATCAGAACGTTGTTGATAAGATTGTACAAGGGTCATGTGAGGTCGTATTTCCCATGCAATAAAGTGCCGTGAGTTATACATGGGGTCATGATTCTGTTCACGACAACGCACAGGCAACGCGGCATCACGACCATGGTTTGCACGATACCAGCATGGTTGACTGAGCTTTTTTCTCCAATATTGACATCTAACAGCTGGGTTCTATGGTAATAACATTCTGCCACCAACTCCGTTAGCTATCAGACGTAACATTTATCGCTTTTATGTGTTTGCGGTGGAGATATTTCAGTTATTGACTTCTTTAGGCTAACACCATTCTAGAATTATATTCATGTTGCGTCTACTCTGTTTATTTTAGAAATACTTAATAAGGAACTACACATCGGTGGCCGGGAATTTCATCTCCACCATCAAGACCAGAATCCATATAAAAAAACACTTCATTGACGTTCACTTCCGTTGATCGTCGGATGTGTGATTTATAAAGTCATCATACAAGTTCGATGTATAGAGTTTCCGAAACGCAATACTGCATTAGGCCACACCAAATTTTATGGATGACGTCCTCACGCGCATTGATTTTGACCCGTTCCCAGAAAAAAAAGAAATTCCGCTTCCTTTAACTATGACCAAAGAGTCAGGACAGTGCCGCAAATCGTCAGATTGACGTGAAACCCGTAACGCGAAAACAGGACAGGACGACAACTGCTATTCCACCTGATTTATTGCTGTTTTGGTGATGAATAAAAGACTTCTTGCTTGTTAATCTGTGTCACCTCATTCAATTTGTGTCCTAACATTTGTCGTCTCTTAGTATATTTCTAATCTAGGCATCTTGTTTTTTAGAGCCCTTCTTGTTTTTTTTTCGCCCTCTCGCATTAGATTTAGGGTCTCCAAAGGACGTCATCCATAAAATTTACTTGGTGTGGCCTTATAAAAAATAATTCCCGGGCCCAGTGACAAACGAAATATTTTGGATGCTATCTGAAACCTTTGACACTGTAGAGACTTTATCCGCTTGGTTGAACTTTTCTTAATATGTCATTTCTTGTATGAGTTTGAATATTTTGAATTTATGTTTTCGGAAAAGGTTATATTCTACAAGCAACAGTTTTACTCAGCTGGCCTCATCGGGTCTATCAACCAAGCGATTGCAGTTATGGGCATAATTTCTCCGATACACGCTGTAAAACTGAAATGTACGTGCTGGGCACGCCGAATAACTGTCAAATGTTTGCGGGAACCGACATCCCATTCCAGCGTGGGGTAAGGTTGAAGCAGGGTCACTCCTGTACAGGCACGCGTGTGGCATGGGGTCATGTAGCGGGCCACCTTACTGTCTTCATACTTAAATGGGCAGCCATCTCGGCACCAGAACATTTTAGTAACACTTTTTGTGACATTTCTACACTTGGAAAAAATGTCAGGTTGTACAATTTAAAAAATCGTCAGTTAGCCCCGGATGTGAGTACGATATTTTTTAAAAACTATTGCTCCTGTTTGTTTATTACTCCGTGAAGGAGGTCAGGACCTACGGACGGAGTGTTGTGATCGGCTGATTTTTCATGTTCGCAGTCAAAACACTGGGTTCTCTTTGTGTAATCGGCACGCAATTTTATACGCCGTCTGCGGGCATGCCCGTGTTGATGCACGAATGTGTATTTTTGCCGTTGCTGCTTTCGCGGTCAATGTAATATTGCAAACGCACCCCTACAATTACGAGGCGAATTGGAATGGTCCAGAAAAACGCGTTGTTTGGAATAGCAGTGGGGGGGTGGAACTTCATGCAGATACGGGGTGGTTTTGATAAGTGGTTCCAAATGTTTTTGCCCATGGTTAAGAGATGGCAAGTTTTTTGGAAGATGTTCGCAGCCAAAACGCATTCTTCCGTACGTCGCATTTCTGTGTAATTTCGCATGTGGTGTAGCATTATGTCCGGGATGATGCACGTCTTTTTATTTTTACCGTAGCTGTTTTGATATTGGAGTAAATGCTTATTTTCGAAACATCCCCATTTCTTTGAAATGTTTTCGTCCGTTTATGTGACCGGTAGCTGATGGGGACGGAAATGTGGGGTGGTCAGTGGTCAGCATTACGAAATGTAAATACCGATGACGTAATCCTATCGATTTCGAACTGGTCGGCTGTGGCGACCTAGTGGCAGCGTGTATTTAGTCACGTAGCAACTGGCCGGTCGTCCTAGCAACGAGCATGCTGTACACATGGCCAATATTTTTGGGTTGGGCCGCTCCATAGTGTTAGTGGAGCAGCTCTTTGTAAACATGGACAATATTTTTGAGCAACCCATCAATGTGTTCTGCCTCGTGGTCGGATGTGGTCTGGGGCTGGTAAACCGCACATACTAGTAGATCGGGTAATTTTATGATTTGCTAGTTGTAAAGGCGTCTTGTAGTATGAGCCGGTATATGAAGAAGTAGCCTGTGTAACACAATCATGCTTTCGGCCGGATTGATGTGCAACTGTACTAATTGCAGGGACTGCGCTAATGCCGACCAGTCGCGCTGTCCTGATACACCGCGAATGTGCGAGTGTTCCCTGTAGACAGTCCCGGGAGTCATTTTCTTCGCACATTCCAGGAGCCAAACCAAAATACGTTCATGAACCGAGTCCAAAAAACCGAAACGTGAAAATCGGATGATCGGACCTGATGTACATTTCTCTTTCTGTAGATTGTACACACAATACACACAGTTACCTACTAGTATTTGCCATACAATGTACCCTGTACAATTGTCGTGCAATAAAGTTCTTCCATATTTAGATAATCTGGCCATGGCAGGTTAAAAAAAAGTAACCCTGAATCATACTAGATTAGCGTAAAAGCATGTTTATGCGTTCAAAACAAGAAAAGAAATTGTTTCCGGCTATTAATCTCTTGAATCACGGCGCTGAATATTGACGCAAAAATATTTCGGGCATCGCGCGCCCTTCCCGTTGTTTAGACTGTATGCAAATCCCGCGTCACGTGTCGGCATTTCGCATCTCTGATTGGTTGTTGCGTCTTAAGATGACTGAGCCGACGCGCGTTTAAACAATTTTTCTTTGTTCGATTTATCACACTTCACAGAGAATTGTCGCCAATGGCTACTTCTTTTTGTTGCAATATATAATACTTCACGGAGAATTGTCGCCTATGGCTTCTTGCTGTTTATTTGATCGATCTCCATTAGTGCGTACAAATTAATAATACAACACTAGTCTTCCTGGAGTCGTATTGAATACAAACACTACATTATACTATACATACATACATACATATACAAGAAGCAAACGTAACTTAAATACAACATGGCAAATAAAATGCAACATAGCAATGAAATACGACATTGGAAATGAGAATACAACATAGGGTATAAAACTACTGAGAGGTCAGAGGTCTCAATACAGTTAAGAGCAAGTAATTCTATACGTCTGTCGTCGCACTATTTCTTCTCAATTCCACGATGTACGGCAAGATCTATTCATATCTTAGATGCATTGTTCAATGTATGTGGCTAGTATAGGGCTTTAATGATATATATACAACTTGCTGTCTGAAGTAGACAGTCGGTAATTCGCATATGCTGAACTTTCGTATCCAATCTCAATGAAATGTTATTATTCTAATATATACCGCGTCGTTTAAAGCTTAATGTACCTTTTTATTTTCACATAAAAATGACGATGTTCTGTAGCCTTCTTTGGCCTGACATTTCCGAATAGCCCAAAGAAATATGGGAACTGCCGTTGTAATAGATAGCATCAGTACCAAAAGATGATAACGGGAATAGATAACATAGCTACAAAAGTTTCCTCACAGGCGCAGTTCTTGATAGTCTCCGCGTATCCAAGAAAGTAGATTTGAACCAGGCACGGTTTTGGATACACGGGGACTATCCGGAGCCATGTCTTAGGATGATCCGAGATAAAGCACGGCTCTGGATACAACCGAGTCCTTCTGTGCATGGTTTGTGTGGGACCGGGAAGGTCACCCCATCTTTGCATTGGGTTTAATGTCTCCACGGTCCATCCCCGAACATTTGAGGATTAAGGTGTCCAAAAATTAATTCTTTCCTAGAAGTATTGAAGAGTGGAACTCGCTGTCACCAAGTACAGTAAGGGCATTGTCATTAGATGGCTTTAAACAATGTTTAGAGTAAGATGTTCAAGGGTTAGGTGTAACACGTCGTTCGGTGTGATGTAGCCAGCTGCCACCGCGCCGCGTGCCTGCGAAGCCGGTGTGTTACGCCAAATGGCGGTTATACCGGCTATACAGATACAGATACAGACTTGACAAGGCAAGCACGGTGTCCTATGCGTCATGCCCTAGAAAGATCAACAAAGCCGTTTTCAAAACAGATTACTTGAGGGAAATCTCAGTGTCTCATGTAATTTTCCAGCCGAGGCGTCGACTGCCGCTCGTCTGTCTGCTCGGTTGTGTGGTTAATGAAATAAAAAAGCTTGAATTAATCAGGTCAATACATTTACCAAGGTTGACTGTTTGGAAACGTACAGCACAGCACAGAATGGAATGTTGTTTATTTTACAGAAGAACTTTATTGACACTACGAAAGTACAGCGACTTTCGTAAAGTCTAGTCATAGTCATACAAACAGACACGTGGGTACAAAAGAATTTCGCGTGTGGTTAAGGGTCCGCAAATAGTACAGGTGTACACAAGTAGCACTAGTAGCAATAATATATTTGTTTTTAATATATTTATGGAAAGGTTATGACACAGACGTCAACCGATAGCTTCTGAAACACCTGCTATGTTGGTAAAGATTCTCACGGCTTCACGGCTAGACAAATACTTACATGTGTGCTCCTTTGCTTTATCAGAACATCCGCTTCATTTTGGCAAGTGGTAAAATAGTTTAGGCCACAGCAAGTAACTTTTATGGATGACACCAGTACGCGCATTGATTTTCGCCTGATTTTTTTTTATACAAGAAATTTTGCTGCCCTCTGACAGTGGTCAATATGCCGAAAATGGGCAAATATGTCTGTTGTCATAGCGCAATGTTGATGGCAGATAAATATGAAGAGACAAGACAAGGCTCTGATTTATTGTTTTGTCTTTGATAGAGTAATGTATTTCATTTCATTCAGATTTGGAGTCTTTGGAGGATGTCATCAATAAAATTTACTTGTTGTGGCCTAATAATAGCTAATATATAATATCCAAGCAGATAATCTCGTGGGTTCTTTTTTCTTCTTTGGCACCCAATAAACCAACAAGATGGCGTTACTTTATCTTATGTTCTTCTGTGTCTTGACGACAGGACAGTGCATCCGACTTGGCCTGGAGCATCTCTCTACGGTGTACCTCCCTTACAGGTATGACAGCGACGGCGACGCCAGGTACAAGATGGGGAAGGGGGCTGCGGAACAAGTCGGCTACGATGCCGACAACAAGAAAGTCTACAGCGTCGGTAATGTCTTCTCTCGTTAACATACGGACTTTGAAGTATTGCTGTTGTCATTGTCATTGTCTGCCCAGAGATTATCCTGAGACAAAAATTGCTAGCAGTACTTTAATTTCAGTGAAATACGAACAAGGCTTCATATAGTTTTTTAAAATATCTTACTGCTGTGGTTATCACTATTCATATCATTTATCACATACATTATATTGTACATTTTGAATACAGAGATACGTGTATTGATATGGTCTTTTACGTATCTATCATCTGACATCTTGGAGAAAAAGACCAATGTGGAATACAAATTACATTGTACCAGAAAATTTATTTAAATTTGATCCAACCTCAGTGAACTTTAGCACTACATAACCATGTATTGTCAAGCAAAACACATGTTCCTTAGCTTTGTCCTAATATCAGTCACTACCCAAGTTACTACCGAGCTTTCGAAACGATGCTGGGATTAAGAAAAACACTTCATTAATCGCACACAGACGCGTACATTTTTAAAACATCGCAAAACACACGTTTTCTACACGTACACTAGCATTTATGGTCCTTCACATTACATAAATATGGACGCCATAATATCTCTGTACATGCATACACGTATATCAGTATTGGGTCAAGGAGACATCGACAGACGATCAATAAAGAATAAATATGCCAGGAGCCTCGAATATGTACACATGGGCTTGAGCATATTTATATTCTATCTAAAGTTATCTTTGTGACGTGCAACATAGTAAGATTGGTAGCATATTCTGGACGTACCAATATTTATTCACGCTTGGTAAAAGGTATTTGAACACCATGTTATAGAAATCCTTCTTATTTTATTCTTATAGGTCGAATAAACATTCTTCGCAAAAAAATGGAAAAAAACTCATACATCATTAAATATTTTCTTCTAAATAATCGAAGGAAGTTACTTTCTTTAACTCTGTATGTTGTCATGTATAGGCCAGCCGGGGCTCCTGAACGTCATTGACGTGTCCGATCCCCATTCCATCAGCCTGCTGCACCACCAGGAACTTCCGCAAGCCGGCCAGGTAAGTTTCAGCCAACAAAACGTCTTGCCTTGTTATAAGGATCATGCAATTCCAAATACATACAAATACTTATAACGCTACGAAATATCAGTCTTGTGGTTTGGGATCGAGGCACTTTCAATGCGATTTGGAGCGTTCAGATGGGGCCACTTCAATCCGGCTTTGGTCGAAATGGATTGAAACCAATTACAGCGATTTGGTGTGAGCGGGCCCTTTCCCAACCCGTGGTCGAGTGTGGACGTCCTTGTAGCAATGTTAACACTGGTGGTAGCGCTGCGGAGGGATAATTCATTCATCAAATGATAAGCATCGATATCCTCACACACCGAGAACGTGTTTTTCAGGCGGCGTACACTGACGTGGAGTACTGTGGCGGGTTCGTGGCGCTGAGCAGGGAACACGAACACAAGGGTCTGCCGGGACATGTGCTCATCTACGAGGCTTACCGGGGCGCGGGCGACATGCGGCAGGTGTACCAGGCTAGAGGTAACCTGCCTCGGTTTCTAATTGTGACCTAAGCATTACGTTCCCAACCCGGGGCCCGGCCGGGCTGTTTGCGTGGATTTAAAATTAGCAATTCATGTCAAGGTCACACAGGTCACGATACCGCACCGGACAAGGGTGGTAGATGAGTTAAACGGATATCCCCAGAATACCCCTTGTAAGATTGTTTTTACAGTCATTTAATATTTAGGTTACATTTATTTCCAAACCGGCGCCCGGCCGGGCTGTTTGTATGAACGAAAAATTAACAATTCATATCAAGAATATACAGAAATAGCGCCCATGATTGATATATTAAGAACATTTCTGTGTACGTGTTTTGTTGTCTTTTATATCGTATTTTTCGTTCCCAAAAGCTGTCCGGTCAGGCCCCATGTGACCTCAGCATAAGCTAAACTATATCGAAACACTCTCCCATCTATTTCCTGTCATCATGAAGTTGGAGGCTCTCCCGACATGCTCCTCTTCACACGTGACTGCCGTAAGCTGATCGTGGCGAACGAAGGGAAGGACGGCGGAGACGGGAACGGGAACTTCCTGAACCCGGAGGGCTCTCTCACCATCATCGACTTCAGCTCGGACGATCTGCCCAACAGTGACCACATCCAGACCAGAACTGTCAACTTCAGGAAGTTCGATGAAAGGTATAGCAAACTCTAGTGTAAATTTTGGAAGTTAAACTCCAAGGTAAAAATATCGTACTCACCTGAATGTTCGGCTGACTCACACAGTCCTCTTTAGCTGTCTGACCCAGTCACTTAAGATACGCGACGTTCCGCTTGTCTGACGTCAGTGAAGGGTCAAAGTTTGTCAGAAGTCTATATCGCATCCCGACCTGTTATTGGTTTCCACTATCTTTCAATCATCTTTTGATGGTCTCAATGACCATCTTGTTTGATTGAAAGGTGCTGGACTTTGTATAGTGTTCTAGGGCAATTGTATGTTTGCGCCGGATGGCTAAACCGTCTCGAGACATATCTTCAAATGCCGCCATCTTGAGCCAGGCCATGTGACTAAGCTAAGATGAAGAAAAAAGTTTGTGTATGATTTGGGCTGATAATCCACACAAGGCATCAACTGTTACTCATGTGTGAGCATGTTGTTGCTGTACACGTACCAGACAGGACGAGTACGCGGCTAGAGGAGTACGATGGGTGTACCGGGGGGAGGAGATCGGGATTCCCAACCGGCTGTCTGAGGAACTGGAGCCGGAATACGTCACACTCAGCAAGGACGAGACCAAGGCTTACGTCGGACTACAAGTAGGCATAGCTTACACAATGATAAAACATATCATCATCAAACGAAACTCTCTATACTTTTTTGTTGTCGCATCTAACATCGGTGACTATTCTTTTCTATCATTCTAGAATCATCGACAAATTTCCTGTATTTACTGTTTTTTGCCTGTCTTAAAGTTGCGTTTGTTTTTTCTTTATTATATGTATTTATTTCAGTGGTGCCGTCAATATAAGTGCTTTCCACTTGAGTGCGGCACCATCATGTCCTGCACCTTTTTCTATGTGAATGAATAAAAAAAATCATCAACAAACTTATAACTTACAAAACCTTATCAAATGATGTTTAAAGTTGGGATGGTAAAATATACCACACCTTTAAGGGAGATATAAAGGTTTATGAGTTTTACACGTGACGGACACGTGATTACTATTCAATGATCACGTGATATGCAAGTGATTCCTTGTAGGAGAACAACGCAGTGATCGTGGTTGACTTAGTGACGGCAACGGCAGAAGAGCTGTACCCCCTGGGCGCCAAGTACTGGGGAGACTCCGGTCTGGACCCGAGTGACAAGGACGGAGGTAGACTGAAACAAACAGGGATATGTGTAAATCTCTGAACTAATCTTTCCTTCGTATGAAACATGGCTTTTGGGGGCGATAGCTATTTTTTTCAAGCGTGATTTGTGTGATTTTATGAAGTTATTGGACACTATGAAATCTGCACTGGTGTAACATTGCTCACATGTATGTACTATGTACTATGATAATGATTTGTATGTGTACATATGCATGTGAGGTATGGACAGTTTTCCGATACAGGAATCCACATCGCAGCCTGGCCCATCTACGGCCTGTACCAGCCCGACACGGTGAAGTACGTGTCCGCGGGAGGCCGCGAGCTGCTCATTACGTCAAACGAGGGGAACACGCGCGCTCTCACCGTCAACGGCATCGATATCAACGACGAGTGGAGGGGCACGGACTTTGTAGAAAGTAGGAGTTTCTAATTCTCACATATGTATTTAAGTCTATGTAGCATTTCATATATAAATGTTGCCTAACCAGCCAAAGGTTTTCAGTGTGCTTCGTACATGGTTAACAATAATGATTTCACCAAGGTTCAGAAAAGGAATATCTATATTGATGATGATGTTGATGATGACTATCTCCAATATGTGGTCGTCCCCCTTATCATTGACGTATTGAATTTTTTTTCTTGACCTGCAGACGATGCCTTAGCAAGCAGTGTGTCGCCTATGCTGAGAGATGCCTTGAGGGATGAGACCAAGCTAGGTAAGAGTAAATAAAACACCCAGGCTGCCGCATCGGTTGTGATCTGTACTGGTACGGCTGGTTCAGCACTCAAATTCCATAGGAAAAATAGCATTGCAAGATTCAGTCCGATATCTTCTAGGTTCGTCCAGTGGAAGCAGTTTTACAGTATATTACGCTCAATCTGAAAGAATTTAGAAAATCCCCTGGTTTTGATGTAGCCTTCGGCCATGTGGTCTTTGGACTGAGCATATGAAAGGCACCATTTCGGGCAAATTGCTTCTTTTTACACAGAGAATAGCGGTCTTTACTAATGTTTCAAAAGTCTTTTTCTTATTTGTCATAGCTTTCTCCCCGGCAAGCTTTCGACACGTTGTTACGGGTAAATATTGTTTTCCTCTCCTTTGGGAGTGCAGGAGTCCTACGCTTTAGTAACTACGATGGGAAGTCGGCTTCTGACCCCACCAAGTACGAGGCGTTCTACGCGTTCGGAGGGAGGGGGTTCTCCGTCTGGGATGCCAAGAACCTGACACAGGTAACGTTTGGTTGTATACATTGAGACGCTTTTTCGGGACATAACTGTATTTCATTCTCCCCCACCCCAACTTTCACAATGTTAGACATATATAGTATGTTTTCTATCGAGAATTTGAAAAGTTATAAATAATAATAATGGCTTGAACTAGTTTCTTTTTTACAATGCATCTCGTTCCCTGTTCCTTACATAACACCCCAGTCTCGTTCCCTGTTCCTGACGTAACACCGCAGTCTCGTTCCCATCCCCAGATCTGGGACAGCGGTGACCAGGTGGAGCGTGCGCATGCGATGTACTACCCGTCCATATTCAACAGTGAGTTCGAGGAGGACTTTCCACACGACCATCCCGAGGACACGATGGACGAAACGTCCAAGAAGAAGGTATACACTTTATACACATGTAAATTTCCGTGGTTTTACGTTTAACGTTATCGTTTAGAAAATAATTTTAAATTGTCACTGCTGAGGCACGACTGTAGCACGCAGTCAAGAGATATTTAGTATTACAATTATGAATTTAAGTCACTGTCCCTATTTTTCTGAATACTTTATCGACTATTCAAGGCATTCTTTGATTTCTTTTACAAATTTCGTTGTACCGGAGACAGACATTACTTCTCGTACCCAGGCTGTACTTCTCGTCCCCAGGGTCCCCAGTCCGAGTCCCTGGCTGTCGGAGAGGCTTTCGGGAAGACTGTTATCGTCCTTGGGAACGAGCGCACCTCCACCCTGATGCTGTATGCCCTGGACACCCACAACCCGCACGCCGTCCCAGAATTCCAGTCCATTTACCGCCATGGCCGGTCAGTAACAGTAATAGTAACAGTAACAGTAACAGTAGCAGTAACAGTAGCGGCAACAGTAGCAGTAACAGTAGCAGTAACAGTAACAGTAACAGTAACAGTAGCAGTAACAGTAACAGTAGCAGTATACGTAGCAGTAACAGTAGTAGCAGTAGCAGTAGCAGTAATAGTAATAGTAACACTAACAGTGACAGTAATGGTAACAGAAGCTGTAACAGTAACAGTCGCACTGTTTCCAAGTTTGTTTTTAATTATCATGATTATGATATTCTATTTAATTAGACTAGTGAAGCTACGAATGGTGGGTTCTAGAACTTACCGAAAAAATACAGGGGTTCCATCCCGATATCAGTGGATCAAAACTTACAGTCAAATCAAAGGCATCTTTAACCGACTATACCGAACACACACGCACGCGCAAAAACAAATAAACAAACAAACAAACATCCCTGCTCCCCTCCCCACACAGGTGGGACCGGAGGTGGGACAGCGCCTACGATGACCGAGAGGTCGGTGACATTGACCCCGAGGACATCAAGTGAGTAGACTAGGCGTTGCCATAGTGACCGCCAAACTACCTTTATCTGTCTCTTCTTCCAGTAGGTTGGAAAAATATCGCTATCTATAACCTACTTTGGGCAGAAAATGGGCGCAACACAAAGTTGTAGGCGAAATACGAACATTATCTTTGCAAGGCTAGAGAAGACATAGAAACTTCACACCGAATATCTGCTAGGAGATTATCAACGTGCAGTATCTCGCGGGTCGGCCGCTAGGAGCGCGATTTAGTCAGGCTGTATGCAGCACCGTCTTTCCTTCAGACATATCCGAAACTGCATTTCAGGTTCATTCCGCATGAGGCCTCTCCTGACGGGCACCCTATGCTGCTGGTAGCTGGAAGCCTGAGCGGAACGGTGACCTTGTACCGGGTCATCAACACGCCTCTGTAGGGCACAGATCTCAACACCTGGCTGCAGCACCTCGTGGTTGCGAATAAATGAATAAATGAAGACCTTTATAAGTTTATTGTACAAAAATACCTACTGAGTTAAGTACAAAGGAGTCGCTTCTGTATACAAACAAATATACAGCATTAAGCTAGCACTAGTGCTATAATCTAAGTAAAAAATAAGGACTTTGCTATTCAATCATTCACCAACCTGATGAATTTATTCAAGAATGAGAGACTGTGACTAGTCTGAAAGTGAGAAGAGTTTGGTTCGTTGGGCAAAGGAACCATCCCTGGATGGCTAAATCCATTGGCAATGTATATAGTCAATTTATATTGTAGTAATTTTCATTCGAACTCTCAAAAATGGGCTTTGTTATGCCTTGCACACTTAGTCTCTGAACCTCAGTCGTCTCATTCAATTAAAGCACTACAATTGCCAGGTTGATATTGCCTGAATGCAACACAGCGACTTGTTATCTATTATGTGAGTTATTTTTCAAATGCTAAATTAGCATGACAGATTCTGACAGAAACTGACAGATTCTCTTGTTTACCACGAAGTACTTTAAAACCACAGAAACGCCCTATTTGATATGTTTTTAAAAATATTTTTATAGTGTGTTGTACATTTCTACTGGTAGGACGTCGTTTCTTGAAAAGAAGTGTTTGGGACAGAAGTTGCGTCCGTGTACGTTCGTGCGCGTATGTAAAAACGACCGTTGATACTGATGCAAAATCAAACGAAATGTCTTTGCCATCCTACAGGAATGCATTCAAACAACTTACCTTCTGTAGTGGATACATATTAACAGTACGGACCTATACTTGAATGCAATTTCCCACAGTCTGCTAAAGACATGTACATTCTAGTCTAGATTAGAGAAAGCGCGTGTACAGAAGATGGAGTGGCGTACGTCCAGAAAAGGCAATGGACCTGTTTATGCTATATTCTCTAAAGTCAGGCGAGTTTATTGATAAACAAAATAACCAATATTGATATGATAAACAATCTATCTGCGAACTCAAACGCGAAATTGCAAATACCACAGAATGTAAAAAAACCCCTCTAATTTACAGATATATCTGATGTTTCTACATACATTACTGCTGGGTTTGACTTGTTATTTTCTGATTTCTCTAATATTGTAGCTTAAACAGTGTGGTTCTTCTACGAGCATAATTTTGCTGTATTTCTGAACGCAAAAGTTAGGGTCGGAGGCTGCAAACTTCGGACAAGTAGCGGTGCGTGACTGGGGCAGTTTCTCCCCTGCTACAACTTGCCCCGCAGACTAAACAAGTCAACAAATGCACCCGATCCAAAAGCTTCAGCACAGGAAACCTGGTCATAAACACGGGGACGTGACGACAGCCAGGGCTCCTCGCACCGCCGCCTCTTCGGAAGTAGACCTAAGTGGGCTGCTGCAACCCCGCGCCGCAGGTGAAGTGTGCGGACCGTATTTGGGCATTTCTGTGACATCAGTCTTTTGTCATCGCTCTGTGGGTTTTCGGGTTTCTGTGCGAGCTGACAAACATGAATTAGAGACTCCAGAAAACAGTGTTGAGGTGTTACAGCTTGGTTTGGACCTCCCTCTCTTTCCACTGTTTTCCGTCGTTGAACAACCAAAGTTTGATCTGTGTGGTGCAGGAAAGTATAATTAAACAATAAAACACACAAAAGATTAGAAAAACACTTCTTTTCTCTATTTTCTTTGAAATTCGTTGCAATTTTTGCCAGATAGTTGATCGCTCAGCTCTTGTGGCAAAGGTGAAAATAATGTCAGAATGTAGCGCTGTGCAGTTGGGAAATTTCAAAGGGAGCTGGATTCAGATTTTTTTCATCCGAACAATGAAGTGGGATGAAGTGTTAGAAATGTTAATAATATCTACTTTCCAGCATTAAACATACAATAAATAAATTCCCAGCTCAACATTAGAACATCGGCTTAGCGTTACATTTTAACAACTGCAACTTTGATAAACTCAAATATGACTTATCCTTGCGGGATAAATAAATGGGGATGTCTTTAAAATTTGAAAAGTCGCACAACTTCATTCTTTTAAATCCATTCATTCAATTCTTTACTCCTTCCAATCTTAGTAAACACACAAACGATACTAATCGTTATACGTATATAATGTTGTATTTTTTCATGTAGTTATACATGTATGGTGTTTGAAACACAACAAGTCACAGGCTATTCAGATAAAGACGCTTTGAACTTAAGTACTTCTTCAAAATATTCCGTTCCTGATGTTGTCAAGCACTCAAAAAGACGAAAACGTCTTCGTGCCGATAGTAAACAGTTTTTCGACCTTTCCTGTCCTAGGATCCTTCACGGTGTGCGGTCTGTCTAAAGGTTGCAGTGGTGTATTGGTACATATTGTCCCCCTAAAAAGATGTCATGTATCTAGAAGTGTTCATTCCCAGCGTATACTTTATTGCAGTAAAATAAAACTCAATCGTACAAAGTTTTCAAAACAAGTGACCAATTATGATTATGTTTAACAAGACACATTACATTTGCAATAGCGTATGGAAATTCAATTGTTCGTCATATAAAACTATTGTTTTTATCCTGTTGGTATCACTTATATTCTGCTGCCAGTGCTGCTTCTTAAAAATCGATGTACGACTATGTTTCAGAAAACATTTCGTCTGTCTTGAATGCTTGATAGAAATTATCGAAAGGCGGTTCTCATTAGCATAAGTGTCAATTGTTTTTGTTCCAAAGGTTGTTTTAACCTTACATGTGATTTGTCGATGTTTCTGGTCAGCAGAAAGCTGATCCATGTGTTTGCGCACGCCCTTCTCCTTTATCCCGTAACAGGTCCTCACGAATCAAAGGACTGAGAGACAAGAAGAACCTCGACTCGTCCCCAGAACAAAGGCCACTCCCCGGGGTTCTTTGTGACCGTGTTTATAAATTTTGAAACCGAAGACACGCCAACATTTAGAGAATCCCGGCATTCTTTACATGCGAGGGTAAGCGGAGTGTCTCCGTGTTTGGTCCGGGTTGTAAGGGTGTCGACACGTCGCCACCGACCTCGAACGACCTGCGAATGTGTGAAAAAACTTGGTCACCGACTGATGACGTCTTAGTTTCAGCACAAAATATGATGTGTACATGTACATGTACCAATCGAAATTACACAACGACGACTGGAAACATTTACTTTGGCTACAAAAGCGTTGAGTGGAAACGGATATGTTGTTTCTTCACATTCATCAGAGCAACATACACAGAAGTCAAAACTCTCTTTGTTGTGTGTTGTAGTATTACATGTTGTATCCTGTATTTATGTGGTGTATAGTCACGTCATTCTCAATAATTTTGTTCGGGATCTACGTATAATTTCGGAGAAGCAAAACACAGATGCATTGCTTTAAATTTTCGTTGGAAAAGTAACTTCTTTGTTTTTTTTTTGTCACATGTGTGCGGGTGTGATTTTGTTGTTGGAAACATGCCATAACATACAGGTATTTTCAACACTTTTACCTCCCAGCGACTGTAGAACCTGATACTAGTACTGTCATAATCTGCATTCTTCTTTGTTGCCACAAACAGTGAAATCTCCGAGTTGTAAACAAAATTTAAACGGAAGAAGGACGGTTGTGTTTTGACACCCGAGGGCGAACAACACAAACGATTGTGTCAGTTGTTACGACTCACGGATTAACAGAAATTACTACACAGTTTATGAAACAGAAAATAAAGTGATTTATATCATATCTGTCACTCTGAACAAAATACTTGTCAATAATAGTGTTACAGGCGATGTGTACAAAATGTATGCATATAATACAGCTTGTGTATATGTATGTTATGGGTTTCCATATAAGCTGTTGCATGATGTTCTCGGAATGTTTGTGAAACTCCATAATGGTGTACGCTTAAACGTAGCCCAGATTCCTGCATTAAGAACGTAATTATCTATACGGAACCCTCAAATTATACGCTGCTGCGAACCACATATTATGTATATGTCGTTTTGGAAGTGTCGCATTTTCATCATATTCAAATTTCGATTTCTTTCATTAGCGTTTAGCCAAAGAATTTAAACAGGTGTTGTGAGGCAGACTTAACACAGATGTTTTCTGTTGAATGTAAAAGAAAAGGTAAGGTGAATTATGGGTTAAGTTGGTTTACGTCTCGATCATTTGTTGATTTTGCATATGCTCTTGCCTTGCATTGTATACATATACTGTAACCTCAGAGAGAGAAACTACACCCATAGTGTGTTGTGGGTTTCTTCTTTTCTACAATGTTTGATGCGACAAACAGGACATATAATGAAATAACTTTAGGGCAGACTCAAAGGTATATTTGTACTGTCAAAATGCATCATAAAATGTGATATTGTTGGTCGTCCACGACCACAAGAAATAGAAATTGGATTCAAAACATCCAAAATCTTAAAACGTTACTCGTTGAATCAGAACATGTTGAACAGTTGACAAAATAAGACAAAATTAAACTTTGGATTTGTGTAAATTCGTGTAATTTGTGTGCAATATGATGCACGATGCAAAAGCATGATTCAATTCAAAAGACAGCAAATTACGTAAAAACCGTTCTTTCTTCACGAAACTCACTTAGTGACCTGTGAAATATTTGGCCACTCATCGGTGGCAGACTGTAGAGGAAATTTGAATTGTTGTACGCACAAAAAACTATTGATCCTTTGGGTGACTCAGATATACCCGAATCTCCTCCACAATTCCGAGAAATCACTGTTTTTGTTAATCATACCTTCTCCGATGACGCCACAGACCTTCAGATTCAGTGATTCGGAACATCATCTAATATGAAAGGTATTTTGTGACAGACATCGAAGGAAACAAGTCGTCTCATCAAGACCCAGAAGTATAGTTTACACATGATTCATCACTATGTTACCGGAAACAAGAGGTCTAATAACACCAGAGGTAGAAATTTTGAAAACAGCGTGAACGAATATTTGTTTCTCTGGACGGAAATCCTGGATTCAGGGTGTTCTTGTCGGGAAACAGTGACTCTCATCATGTCTCAGAGTTCTTTAGGAAGGAAAGACTGGAAGAAGTAGAAATTGGCCAAATAGACGGATAACATGTCTGGGGAGTTGGTCCGCTATAGCCTATGAATACAGGGGGACGAACTGTAATCAGGCTACTTGCAGGGACGAATACACAGTGGAACGAAGTGAAGAAAGACTGGATACATACAGAGGCTGTTTCAACAACTCTGAGCTGCAGAA